TGTTTTTTAGTACAGTCAAATTAGATCAAATTTCCACGAATAGCGGAAGTAATTGAAAGAAAGCTGAAAATTGGTATAGAGGTACATTAGGGCTTGTATTCGAGAACATACTAAAAGTCGGGGCCGAAACTCCTAGAGCTCGAGCCGCCATCTTGGAAAAAAGGTACTCCAAATCACTTTTTCGCTGATATCTCGGTAATCGTGCATTCTAGCAAGTAGTTTCATATAAAAAAAGAAAGATAATAAAATTTTATATAAAAAAGATGGTATGCACTTTTTTTGTATTTTCGATATTTACGTCGATATTCCACATTGAATATAGAGCATACTCTTTTTTTCAGATGTAGGTGCATTACTTTCATTTTTTTCTCTAAAAAAACTTCTTTAGACTTTTGCTCTAAAATAATTAGGGGAGCTAGTAATTGACTATAAAGAAATTACCATTGACATCCCTGTGCTGCGTTGCGCTAGGCACCACCCTGTATAAGGAATCAAATGTAATGAATTTACACCAACTTTACTGTAACAAAATCCTCCAGTTCAGAAAAACATCCAAAATTACTGCCCAACATGCACTCTCATTAACACGCCAGGAAGACCATAATATACTTTTTCCAAGGTCTGAAAAAACAATCGGTAAACGATGTGCTCAGTACACTTGCTCCAAAGATTTATTCTATTCTACCGCGCGAAATGAAAAAGACCTATACCGTTTTCACGAAAAAAGTTCAGGTGTGGATACTGGAACAGCGCCATGTACTATTTCGCGAATTGTTAATGGAATTGTTTCGTTTAGTTTATTATTTTTAGTATTTTTTTTATGAAATGAAGTCAAGTTTAATTTATATTTTTTTTGTAAATGCCCCATATCCATTACAAGTAGTTCAAACGACTTCGGATTTTGGCAATATTTATTTTTCTTAGTTTCCTTATGTAGGTATCTTTTGTATTCGGCTATATAGTATAAAAATAAATATATTATGTATTATTTCCTTCTCTTAGGTGGTCAACAGGCCTTAACAATGTCAGTCCGATAGAAATTACACAAAAAATGCAATACTGCCCAATTGTTATGTTTAAAAGTATAAAGGGTAAGTTTTTTCTTATTATGTTGATAGTATGTAAATAGTGCATATAATTGAACCGATACTCTAATGCACTTGGCTTCTCGATGAATATCAATTTTAGTTTTGGAGGCCATGGCATTTTGGACCATTCATAATAATTTTTGATTAATTTAATCAACTGAATGACTAATATAATTTTTTTAATTGCAGGTTATGGAATGTGCCCGGAAATTCCGGGTTTTCGCCAATTCATTTTTTTATTATTAAGGATTACGAGACCTGCAATTTTGTAATATGTAGGCTAACAAATTTGATTTACTGGAATTAAATATTCATTTAGAATAACTTCGATTACCGACTTCCAATAACAAATAGATTTTTCGCTTTTAAAAACAGACTGGGGTACTGTAACGTGCAGTTTGTTTTGGAAACATTTTAATAAAGTTAAACGCTAGCTTGCAGTTTCCTCAAGTATTTTAGGTGTGTTGTGGTATCAATAAAAGACTAAAATTTCAAGTAAGCCGGTATACAATTTGTGTGAGCTAGACCGAGGGAGAGGTCCATAAATAAAACTCGATCAAACAGAGGAGAACCACAATAAACTAAATTCATTGCCGTAAGCGTATTGTTTAATTCACCTTGGGAAATACGTGGCATCGTATTAGAGTCGGTGCGTTTTTGAAGAGCGGCATATGAGTTATGCTGTTGAACTATACAAATTAAAAATAGAAAAGTTATATGCGCACGAAATAAAATATTCTACACGTGCAGTGATCCAAACCACACCGACGTCGATGAACTTTTATCTGAGTATTTAAACCGTTATTCAACAAAGATGCATCTAGACGTCAGGAAAGCTGAAGATGTAGAAATCCAAAGGGAACCTCTTCAATTTAGGTGGAACATAAGGCATATTCATCTACAATTTCGGACAATTGTCCATCACTGCCAATACCACGAATACGAACTTCGACCTAGGGGAATTTATTATAAGTATAGGGTAAGTATCTATAACAACAAGGTAAGCTGATTTTCTTTAGATTTCTACAGACTGACACGTTATGTAGGTAAAACCGGAGATCTCTTACATAATTCAGTAATTGATTAATAAATGGTGAAATAGAAGGTAAGTAATCAGTAACGTGTAGTGTATAACGAGACAGTCTGACCTGTATTGTTTGCAGAGGTTTCGGATGACTCTGCGACGTTGGAGACAGTGATGACACCTGGAGTATTGGACATAACTGATGGGGCTCGATCTTCAATTTGAACTGTGCCAAATGGTGACGTTATGTTTCTCGTCGAAGTTAATATTTTATTTAATTACTTGTCAACATTCGAGCAATAGAGGGCTGTGCAACTTCCTGCTGCGGAAGCACAACGATAATACTCGGAATAAGCTGGGTATAAAAAATACATTTTTATTTTATTTTATTTTTTAATTTTATTTTGCCTTTATTTTTGAGTAGGCGGAGTGCCAAGGCTGCTCTACCAACCCAAGAACATTGACGGAACTAAACGGATAGATCCATGAGGCGTTCACCAGTACTTTTTAAATTTGATGCCCAGAATATTACTTGGTTTTTGTAATGCAAATTAATTAATTATATTGTTGTGTAAACTACAGGGGGGTGTGGTTTCTCTAATCTCTAGGTTGAAATAATGCCAAAGATGAGAGCGAGCCGCCCTGTAGTGAAAAATTTAGGTGTTGTTAACGTAATTTCCAGTTTAGGCATTGGAAATAGCAGTCGGTATGTAAAGTGTTTCAATTTATTTAATAGAAACCTAGGGGAATTTTGTTCAAAAAGACACAGAATTGGAAAATTTTGTTAAATTCTCATTGCAATTGTTTTTAATTGTAATTTAGTAATTGTTTAAATCAGTTAATTGTATTTGATGCACTTGGTGAGTATCATGCATTTTAGAACGCGCAAATAATTTTAATTCTAATTTCAACGTAAGATAAAAGTTTTATCTGGCCAGATGGTTTGTAAAGGCCTTATCGGACAAATTAATTGGCCTTATTTACTAACAACGCCATGTGCGAGATAATGAAGCGGTCTTGCAAGAATCGCCGGGGAATAAGGAATGGAACGGACGAGTGGAGCTGACTTGACCTTTAAGTACGCAGAATGCGATTCTTAAAAGCGTATGTCATTGTTGCGCTAAATTATTATGCCAAAAACTTACACATGCGGTTCCACAGTTAAATGGACAAAGTCAGTGTCATATTTTTGATAGTGTTAATTAAAAATTTTAACCCGATTAGCCATATGTAAAGTGTGTGGTTTGTCTTTCATTGTATTCTCTTCGGACCAGAAAATTTGGATATTAAATTGACTAATCTGAGAGTATTTTTTTTTTAATCTCTTGAATTGTTTTTTTTATTTGTTCGTTTTGTAAACGGGTTGTGTGTGTTCAAAAAAAGCGGTGTTAGTTTTAATTTTTTTACAGGTTTTTGTATTAGTTTTTGTTATAATGATGTGTCTTATAATAAATTATTGTTATTAATCAATTGTGTGTCAATTTGAATCCCTATTTCAGATCCAGGTAAAGTTTAATTTTCACTATGTGATTTTAAAAATTTCTTTTAATCTGACGATTAATTTCAATTCAAAATTTGAGTAGTGATTTCATTGGAATTTTTATGAATTTTGATTAAGGCCTTACGAAAATAATAGTAATTTGAGCTAGGTTGAGCCTGTTGGGTGGTACCTTTGGCCGCATACCATTTTATACAGCAATATTTATCGGTGAATCAGAAAAATGTTCTCATGCAAATTTGTCGTGTACGTATCTTATTCCTGAAAAGGTTTTCATCTTCTCAACATAGTCTTACCTTGAACTTTCTTGTAAGGAAAGTATTTCCTGGCTCTAAAATGTGAATAGCTTATAAACCGTTACAATACTTAACTGTTACACCATGTGTACTTCTCTCAGACGCAGAACCTTTCCTTAATTTGACCAAATCATTGTGTAATTGGCCCCACTCTGGATTTTCACACTGATCTTAGACGATTAGGTCTATAACAGCCTTTCTAACAGCGAGTGTTCTCAAATAAGAATCTATAACTCTGGTTCGCAAGATTTTATGTTTGGAATGTTTATACAAATTCGAAGATAGCTGTTACTGTGAGAAATATCAACGTCCAAATAAATTTTGTTACAACATACACGTTACTTTAAATAACGCTATTAACGTGCACTATCATTATGGAAAGAACTAATTTTCCCAACTAAACCCAAATACAGTAAATCTGTAAGACGACCGCGTAGTTCCGACGTATTCAAACGTACGTGGGGGACTGCGTAACTTGCATGGGAAGCGAGTAGCGGAACGCTCATTGCCGAACATTATCACTAGGGAAACTACAAAGAAAAAAATAAATTAGGAAGTTTCGCTTGGTACGCGAAGCATTGAATGATGCATTAAAAGATAATTGACTTGAAACGTCCCGATGGGCGAGATAAAACCAAAAATGAACGAAGTATAGAGAATAAGGGCAAAATCAGATGCAACAACTGCTTCGCGTAACTCGGGCACTGTACCACCTAATTTTTAACACACTAAACAGCCGGTGTTTATGGAGTTCGATAGGAATAAATGATAGCGCATATGGTATTAACAAAGGAAATGAAGGGCTACATTTCCCCATCTTTCGCTGCGCCGTACTCTAATTTAAATTCGAGTTTTGATTGTGCGAATGATTAGATTCATCACTTATACCACATCCGATAAGGTTTTTGTATCCTTCACACAACTTTTCCAAAGAATGTTAAGGGTTGATTAAACTTTCCCAGACTTTTACGATAGATGTTGGTCACCAAAGACCATTTCGACTTAATTTAACACTGACATAATTCAGCCGTCAACTGAGAGATTACTTTTGTGGCTTTTGCTCAATAACGTTGAAGTGTAAACAAAGTAGAACAACAAATTTATTTCGATTTTATTATTTGAAATTACATCAACATAATACATAATAAAAACAAGACATTTATATGCAACTTTCTTGTATGCGGTTGGAAGTTGTAACAACTTCCGGTCCCCTGTACTTGTGCGTTAGCGTTTGGGAACCCTGAATTCCTGGTAATGCATTCCGCGTCGGTCGTTGTAAACTTCGATATACCTAAAAAGGGGTTTAGAGACAATTTATGAAGCTCGGGGTAACTTACGGTTTGATTTGGAATGTGAGTATCTTTGGCAACGTGTTTGAAATCATAGTCTTCAACTTCCTCCTCGTTGTCTTCATCTTCTCGTGTATTGGGCAATTGATAAATCTTTGTAAATCCGAGCCCAGATCGTCTTTCTACAATAAAAGGAATATTGTAATACGCCGAACGTGCGGTTATTTCGTTTATATCCTACCGTATTGGTTTCTAATAATATCGGGATCAGTGTCTTCGACGGACGTTCCATTTCTGATTGACTCAGTAAGTGCGGTGTCGGGAGTTGTAGGACTTCGAACACCTGTCACGGAACCGTCGATGATGAGGTCATCAGCCGCAATTACAGCTTCCATGGGAACGTGCTTTGTGTTACTGTCGGCGCGAAGACACGGTCTACTGTAGTGCCTTCTGCATAGTGCGGCGAGCACTAGGCATACACCGGCAGCAAGTACTCCAGCCGCACCTAATAATCCTAAGAATAATGGGCTAACGGGAATGGCCGTCGATGGACCTATAAATTAAAGGCAAATATTATATTTTATTATTATAGAAAGGGAATAAAAAGTCTACTCTCTATTTAATATGAAACTGAAAGTTACGGTGGCAATAAAATAAAATTTAGATGAAGTGGGAAGCGTATGTTTTCTCAGATTAAAGGGCCAATTGAGCACGTTCCCGAATCGAATAAAGTAAAACGGCAAAAAAATAAGTAAAACCGCAGCGTGGCGCAGGATCCCGGGCTCGATTATATTAATCAACATTCATTATCGCTGCGTCTTATGCCGGCTCTACGGCCTCGTCCCTTGATATCCCACTTTATTCTCATTTCTGCGTATCGCGACCGTCTCTCAGTGTCGTTCTTCATTTCCATATTTTATTCAAACTCATGTATAATTCATTTTTGTCGTCGTCTTTGGTTTTGAGTCTTTCCTTACCAATTCTTAGCGTTACAAGCCGGCTTAGAGCGATTCACTCGGGATTGTGCCCGATACAAAGCTCTTGTTTGGCCTTTAGCCTGTTAGCCACTATCTCGTTGTACAACATCCCTGTGTTGAATCTCAACGATATCGGAAGTATCGCCGATGTTTATACAAAATACAACGTGAATATACCATGACCGACGCAGATAGCTACGCCTGTTTTATATCGGACCCAGGTCACATGCAAATTCAGCAGAATACCCCAATATGCCCGCCGCACATAGATATGAATTTTGTTCGCTGTTATCCTTAAAAGTCTCCGCCGTAAAATGATATTAGACTTTCGAGAGGCTGCGCAATTTTTACATTCCGCTGCTATGTACAATTTTATGTCCGCCACAGAACGCTTATTAAATTTATTTACGACCGCGCGCGCGTACACAATTAAGCCTTAATGTAAAACATTAATTACCTGTGTACTTGGCAACTCCCTTAAATGTTATAGCATCAATAACAGTCGGATCGCTTCGTCCTTTCGCGTTGATCGCATACAGCAAAATCCGGTAACTAATGCCCGGTTCGAGCCCTTCCGCGTAGAAAATCGGTGGAGTTTTATACGTTGTTGCGTTGAGCCTCAATTCTAATGATGGCAGCTCCAGGATCTCCATAAGAAAGCTTTGCGGTAATCCTCCATCAAAGCTTTCTATGCACTCAACCTGTAGGGAATCCGATGTTTGGTTCATCACTGTACAATTCAATAACGGAAAGGGTCGTCCTGAAATGGAAAAAAAAACATAATGGTTAAATCCAATTATAAATTGCCACCCTTCACGAAGTAGGTCAAGTATTATTATTAGCCCCTTAAATTTCTACAGATGTAAGTTGTTAAGAGTGAAATACTTGCATGGAATAAATAAAAAAAGTTCTAGCATTGTTAGGGAATAACTCGCCCTTTGTATTTCCTCGGGTGCACGTCATAAATAATTTACACATCTTTTTGCTACAGTATAGATGGCATGACAACTGTGTTCTACACAGGTTTTAAATTATTAAACATTCATGGCTTTCGTAAATTTGCATGCGTTTTAAATGTTACACGTCCATTTTATGATAAAAATAACTTTCTTGTAAAGGAATTCGGGTATCGATCCTGATGAGAGGCAGGCGATGTGCGTTATTCGGTATTTTGACCTTTACGTATGTATATCTCCGATTTAAATTTTGGAATTAGTACTATAAACACGGTTATGGGTTCCTAACCCACAATTTAACTGTGACATTTACATTTTAGAGCTTTAATGTATATGTATGATATTGGCTAGAAATGGAATTGATTTAATTCAACCAACATGAATGGTGTTGTTAAAACGAGTTGTGTTATAAACGAAAATGCAAAAGCAGAAAAAAAGTAAACTGTAAACCGTAAAAATTACAAAACACCAAACGAATTGTTTATTTTATATCGCAAGCAAGAACATCTTTTCTTTGTAGTATCTTCAGTACTTAGTTGTTGCCAGAATACCTCAAATGGCATTAAGCTGCTCCACATATCGGAATGCGTTTGCTTTGAAGATCTACACAATACAACATCAATGTTAAAGAAATGCACAGTTTGAGGAAAAACATCAAGGAAATGTCAATTTAATGATGTGACATTCTACAGTTATTTATGACAGCTTTAACTAAACGTTACTGCACATTACAGGTAGGTATTTGGAATTTTAGGATTATTCTGAATATGAGATTTAAAATAACGCTTCCGGAAATAACAGTTATTTCACATGACAACCTCAATGTTTGGATTCTGCCTTACATTTGTGATTCCCTGATATTCACACGGATTTTTGTTTAAAATTGGCATGACAAATGGAAAACAGAAACTATTAAATGAGTATCTAATAGCAAAACATGCGTATTTCTTTATTGAATGTGTGAGAATGAAAAAATTATCAAAGTCCTCGTGTGAGATCGAAGGGACTTCAGCGCATTTTTGTGTGGCAGATCAGTATTCTATTAGCCACTTTCGACTCAACCATCAATAACAGATCTTGTCGAAGGCTACTACATTCACTAACCGTTTCCCACTTTCCGCGTGCACCCGCAATTCGCTTTTAAAGTTAAAATCGTGTCGGGGGCTACCACATTCCCTTTGACGGTAGCCACTTCCGACGTCCCGTTCACCCACCCGCAATTCGCTTCTATTGGCGACACGAGAAAGAGAGACAGCGATTCGAGATTTACGAAACATTAAACCGCGTGAGTTCGCAACGGAAGGTAAAAGGCGCCCGAAGTTGACTACTTCTCGAAGACGCGCGCGCGCGCCTCGCAAAAGGTCGTTAATTTCGCCCCTAGGACAAAAAACAAAATTCCGCCACGCAGGAGTTGTGCGCGTTTACAACATCTTTCCGACGACACCAATTTGAAAAGAATCGGACCAAAACTGTAGTAGAAGATAGGAAAAAACTGAAAAACCTTCACGTTAGTATACTACGCTCGAGGATGACGCCCAGATGTCGCCAACCCCACATCATGTAGCCATGTCCCTAAGGTTGACAAATTTCACGGCCTTGTAGATACACGTACACCCGTTGCCTTTCTACAAAAGTTCTTCTACGCGCCCACATTTGCAGCCAGCCAGCCAGTCAGCCAACCAGCCAGCCAGCCAAAGTGAGATTAAAAGCTACATTTTACAAATAAATTTGCAAAAATGCGCTAAAAAGAGCAACTCATTAAAAAACAGAAAGCCTCGGTATGCTATTGAAACAACATTTTCGACATATTCATCATTCAGTTTTCACAACGCCAGTAGATGTGTCGAGTTTAGACGATCTTTCACCGCTTTGTGAATACCCTTTTCAGCACCCCGTTCTGCAGATATTTGCACTAAAAGTTTTGACATCATCAGTAGATGTGTCTCGTCCAGAGGTTCTACTTGACGTACCCTCTTTCGACACCTTTTCAAGATATTCGCTTCAGTTTCACCAATAGATATATGTCTCGTCTAGACGATTAATTTTGCCTGTGAGCGTATTCTCGGCCGACAAATCGTTTTCAAGATTTTCGCTTTTAAAGTTTTATCGTCACCAATGAATATATTTCTTCCAGTCGTCCCAATCGCCTTTTGCGAGTTCTATCCTCCGACAATCCGCTCTTGAGATATAAGGAATTATAACCGATCACGATATTAGAGTACCATGAAGAATAAAACTAGTCCCCCGTCCCCTTTTTTGGTAAGGGGTAAGAAAAAAGGATCGTAGTTGGTGAAGAGAGACCTTTAAATTAGAATTCTGTGAAATATAAAATCCACTTCTACCTCCCCCTCGTCACCCACTGATATCACAAAGGAGGTTTCGCAGGAAAATTAAAGTTTGTACAAACCAATTCATTTCGGTGAAAGCTTTCATTAGAATACCATGAAGGATACAACGTTCCCTCCCCCCACGTTATGCACGTTTTTAAGTAGTTCAAAATCCCATAAGTGGGCCCGGACAGACGGACGAACAAAATTTTAATTTAATAACAATAAATTGCAGATATAAAAAAACTCACACTTTACGTAGATTCCAGAAACACGCAAATATAACAGAAGTTTCCATTTAAAATAACTGCCTACTTCTAGATTTTCTGAAAGTGTCGTGAGTTTGATGTTTTACATTGATTCGTGTTTCAGAGTAACACGTAAGTAACGTGCGTTTAATAATTGTTCTGGTATTAATTGACCGTGGGTTTTTTTTTCTAGTATAAAGGTAGAGCCTTTGATTAGTTTAGTATCGTTTGAAAAGTCACCAAAAGCACGCACGTACGAACGAAAACACGTGTAATGTCAGTAATTGATTTGTAAAAACACACAGAAATGCGTAAGAAAGTAAGCAACAAATTTAAAAGCAGAAGATTGATCTGTCATATAATAATTTATGTAATGTGTAACCTGAAAATATTGATTTTAAATTGCATGTATTTACAAATGATGAAATCAACCATTTCAATTACAAGATGGTGACAATATCTAGGTACATTCTCAACTCACTACCTCCCTATGGTCGCTATTTTAGGCCAGTCATTGGGGATTTTTACCTGGAAATAAGGCCAGGAGTTTTGAAACTTTGTAGGTTTATAGGTTTTAGTAACTAAAATTCACAATCCGAGACATGCCGCAGGCGCCGCCATCTTGCCAAGATTGCGCCCAAAAACGGTTTTTTTTTTTTGCAAATATCTCCAAAACTATGCGTTTTTCTAAAAAGTATGTAGAGCGCAAAATTAAAGAGGAGGAAGTTTCCTACAAGATATGTTCCTAGGAAATATTTATAACGAAATAATGACATCTTTTATTCAATTAATCGATTAATTCATTAATTAATAGATGTTAATAATTTATGATCAATTAATTTCGATTTAAAATGCTATACTTGTTTCCACACCACCCCAGAGGTAAAGTACACGGCGCGTTTTTTAACGTAGTTTCCCCTGTAGGCCTAATCCACTTAGGCCCGGTTGTTCAATCATGGTTTAAACTGTCGATTATCTTAAACTGGCGTTTAAAACTGTAAGCTTAGTTTAATGCATTGCACCACTGCGGTTTAACGTTAAACTCCGTTTAGATTAGAGGTTTAACTAAACGGTGAAAGAGGGCCGTTTAACGCTCCTAACCGTCAAACGTAACCCCAAATACCTACATAATCAAACAAACACGAAAACGTTATTCTTGTCATTTTGGGCTGTTGCTGTTGGTCTTATGGTTTGTTAATCAAGATGAACTACACCGATTTTGATGAGCCAATTACTGATGATGAAGGTTTTTTGGAGCTAATGCAGGTGTTTTTGGACGATGAAGAAGAACCTCTCATTCCAAGCAATTTCTTTATTTGCTCGTCTACATCCGTCGTTATTATTTTCTTCGCTGGCCCTCCCCCAGTAGCATTTAAATATTTCTTTTCATTTGCAAATTTTTTCTTTGAAACCTTTTTTATATGTTCATATTTCCTTCTGAGTGTTTTCGCATCCCTTCCTTGACCTCCTGCAGCATTAAACTCCCCAGCCAGTTGGTTCCATGCGGCGTCTTTGATGCGGTTATTAAGAACGTCGGTTTTTTTACACTCTTATTGTTGCTCGAAACTTTTTGACGAGCTGCAGAAGCATCGCTTCTTCAGTTGGATTGAAGTTTACAGATCGCGGTCGCTTCCGTATTAGATCAGCATTCTCCATTTCCAAACGGTGTTACTACTAGCCACGATTAGTTACACAAAAAATACACATTTCACTATTTCAATCACGAACAAAACAAGATACACGCTTGTAAACAAACCAAATTTGAAGTTTGAATAGCGTAAACGTCAAAATTTGAGCGGATTACAGTGTTGCCACCAATAGAAATTTCATTAAACGCAGTTTAGTTAAACTCTCCCTAAACTGCAAATGAGCAACGCAATAAAAGAGAAACTGTGGATTATCTTAAACTACAGATTACCTAATCTGCAGTTTAAACCGTGATTGAACAACCGGCCCTTAGGTACTAAAATTATCTTTGGCAAAGGCCAGACGGACCTTACTCATTGATTTCCATATCTTCAACGGGGAAAATGGTTACCTCAGCTTCAGAATCGATGTTGATTTTCTTCAACTCGTCGGACTCTCCTTCTGCAGGCGATAAAGAATCATCAAGCACCGAATGGAGGTCTTCTTCATCGGATTCGTCCAGTGTCACTTGTCTGTCACTGTCACTGTCTTTCCATTGCAGACACCGCAAATCCTTGAACATCTCAATCCCGCTTTCCTGCA